GAAACCAAGAATCAACGGCCACAGAAAAAGATAACTATTTTCCCGAGCAGCATCAATCAGCAAATTGAAACGAGCCATTGGCAATATTCTAAAGGCCAGTTATTTCATTCTCTGATGTTAGCTGAGTAAGCGATAAGACAGGTTGTGGCTGAGATTGTGGTGGCCGCTGTTGTGCCACCTCGTAGCGATAAAGTACAGACCTATATTGATGAATATTGAAATACATCGTCAGCATTTTTCTGCGGACCGCCGGGAGTGTTGAAACGGTGCCAGCAGCGAGAAGGGGGTTTTTATATACTTAATCATCAAGAAAAAGCTGCGATGCCTCCGAATACTGCATCAGATCAATAGGTAAATGTTGAACCAGCTGAAATCTGAGGGTCAGTGGTGTTGAGACTCTGGCAATTCGTAAGGGTTATTATATAGACTCGAGAGTAAGGGTTGGAAGTAATACTATAAGTACCCGAGCTCTTGCCAGCAGAAAAATCGTTCTTAAGTATTCTCTTGTCATTATGGGGCAAAGAATATTGAATACTTTGACTTTATCAGCTACTCTCCTCCAGTACGGACTAAGTTGACCCCAAACTGCTATGTACTTGTGATCGAACTGATCTGTTATATTGCTCTTAGTCTGTCTATACTCGATACTGAAATCTGTAAACGGCAGGTAAGTTTAGTAACCCGATCATTTGAGACTATACTAACATGGAAAATGTCGAATATCAGTTCTGTCTTAGCTGTTCCTCTGGGGATTCAATCAACGGACCTGGAATGGTCTCGATAATCAACTTATGTTGCGAAGATAGTAAGTAACGAAAGGCCCCTATAAGCTACCTACTGATGGTTTATCATATATCGAAATCAGCCACCACCAAGTCGACTTGATTGAACTAGAACGTCACACGCAGTAGTAGCTGGTAAAGTATGTTTCAATCACTCCGGCAGTTTCGAGAGTAGTTAGCCTGTGTGGATCACTCTCTGTATAGGAAAGCAATTATTTTACTATAAGCCAGCCCTTATCTCGTAAGTTGCCCTATACGTTGCTACTGCCTATTCTCAACGTCTAGGACTAAGTTTTAATTCCAGTGCAGAGACTATATATTTTTAACTCCCCGTTCTTGCAAAAAAATTGATGCTGCCTCTTTCTTGCTATGAGGCGAACGTCAATATTGCACTCGACATGACAGCGCTATATCCCCTATCATCCTTGAAACCAAGCCAGGTGCACTAGCCTAATATGCTAAGTCACTAACTCCTAGTATGCCTGTGCCTTGGTTGTTTCTGAAGACGTATTTGATACGGCCACTTCGGATAGCGTATTTAGCGGGCCTAATCCCGGAAGGCTTGATGTCCTGCTGTTAGCTATATGGTAATATTCCAAAATGTTTTTATCTCTTCAGTATTACACTGTTCGATTAAAGGTTAACTGTTGCTGTATTAGGAACCTGCTGTATTCCGGTGGCTATGAACCTCTTGCCCACGTCCGATCCGAAGACTCGTCGGTAGCTATGACTCTGTCCTATACTAGACCGCCTGAGCTATAGCAGTATCTGGCGATAATAAAGAGAGGCCTAGTATTGACGGCAATCAAGAGGGACCATGGTTTGTATAAAAGCCGATTTAGCCAATAATGTATTAAATTACCGACCACGAGCTAAGGGCCAGCTCGATCAGGCCCTGATTGTAGCTGAGCAAGCGATAAGCCAGGCTGTAGCACTGGAATTATGCTAGATCCCTCGCTGCGGGAGCAGTTGTTGTAGGTTAGTTCCTAGTTTACTCTTGCCAAAATAGTATGAATCTCTCCTCTAGTGGTACTTTGTCCTGGCACGGTTGAAGATTTGCCTAGTGCACGAACAGCACATACGAAATAGCTATGTATTGGCAGGTATGGCTACATCCATTCCCCGTAGTATAGAGTGATCTCGGGCCCTCATGTATATGGGATCGAGCTGATGTCTGCTAGCTTGTCTCTGGCTTACCTTTGCTGATGCCAGACTATATTTACGGTAAGTCTGTACCGCCTTAAGCTACTAGAAATCATGCTGATATAGAAGAGTAGTGAAACACCGCCCTGGTTCGGCGAGTCCCAAGAGCCCGACCGGGGTGCTGTTCATAGCTGGTATCAGAGGATCTCATCTAGGGCATCAGCACGGTAAGTGGCGAATGACCACCTTACGTAAGCTGCTAATAATTAGTGCTAGATTGAATACTCCCTCCTCAATATTACCACCGAACGCCACGAACTTATCAGCAGAAGCAGCCTCATAAAGTACGGCCAGTCGATTGCCACAACGGTTAAATTTGCTCAATTATAATGAAGCCCAACAATTATTTTCGACTATCTCAGCTACTATATCGAAGATGTCGCTTAATATTCGCTTATGAAAGCTCAAGCTTATCCGATTGGGAATATAGCACTAACAATCTACGAAATGGCTAATGCTACGAAGTGCACCCGTGAAATGTGACATCCAGTACCCTTGCCTTCTTGCACATTCACTAACGTTTGTTGATACATCAAGGACAATTCATCTGGTCAGAATTCTATTCATATGGGCGTAACACTGAGATGACTCTAGCCTGATTAGTGTGGGCTGCCCGCCTACGATCCCCCAGTACTAGTGCCTGCTTATTATAACGCTGCAGGAGAAGGCCATTTTCAGCTTCTAGTTCCTCGTTTGATAGCCAAAGTTGGCATTGCTCGTTCTGGAGTCGGATATTCCCGGTAGATTGGACAACATAATATTACCAAAGACACAAAACATAAGTCGAGCAGGTCGAGAGCTGGCTTTGCGATAGACGAGCCCAGGTGTAGGATATTCTTGACCTCGATCGTCAAACGGCCGGCAGTACTAGTGGTATTCTATTATGTATTAATTAGGCTCTAACTCTCTTGCTAGAAGACCCTAACCTTATACTCGATACTTGTACCCCCCAGAGGTTCTCGGAACAGGTTATGTTGGTTGGCGGTAGCGTTATCCCCTGGGTATTTGGAGAACCGACGAGGTCTTTTAGTAGGGCCTCTTGGCCGATAGAGGACGATCTGGTGTGTCTGTTGTGTTTACGAAGTGAGTTATATGTGCTGAATGACTGTCGGCACAGGTGTTTAGTATGGTATAATAAGATGGGCTAATACGAAACCCTATAAAGTTCGGATGCCTGTAAGTATCAATCTTTTACCTGGAATGGCGTTATATTCCGATGTATGTCTCGATTAATGCACTTAGGACATATCCCATAGATAGGGAACAAAAGCAGGGTGTTGTAAAAAAAAAAAATTGAGGCGGAGAGAAAATCCCTCGCAACAGGTATCCGCTGCTGCCCTTGAAGCTATCAACGCCGCCGCTTTATGTAGGTTGGTTTTTTTTCTCAATACATCACATTGTTGGTCTTTCATCATCCCACCTTTGTGTATTGTCTCTTATCCACGCATCATCACTAGTTCACATATCTGCTAGCCCTTTATAGCATCATACTAAGATGTTTTATAATTCTTCTGTTAAAATTTGAGCAAGCCACTAAGTCTCTATTTTGAGGATGAGGCTGTACCTGCCTCGCGATGGTTACTGAGATCGTTGACCTGCTTCTAGGCCACCTTATGAATTGGACCCTCGGCAAAATGCAGCGAAGTCCACAAACTGGCATACTGTAACCTTCGGTTCTACTGAAGTATGTCAACAAATAGAAGATGCCCCCCCCTTCGATTGAAGTAACAAAGAGACCCTGAACCAATGATTCTGATGATTGAACCAACTGGGATATAGTATAAAACCCGTACCATCTCCGAGTTGTCTGTATTCTACTCGCTCTGCCTACCTGACTGGCAATTTAAGACGGTAAATGTCATATCGCATTCTTATTGGTCCTGTCATCCGCTCCAAGAATTCCATTTCCGCTCACCTATTTTGCTTCCCCGGCCGCCCGTGACGAAAAGGAATTGACGTTGCCTTAGGCGGCATCACGTTTTTTGGCTGTTATTTATTTTGGCGATGTCTCAACAAGGCTCAGTAGATAAGGATCCTCGAAACATCGATATAGCCTAGGTAAGCTTTTCTTGTGGTGAGAACGAAATACAGTTTACTTTTCGATGGATTGCCTATGTTTAGACCTCGAAATGGTGCGGTTCCGGTTCCAATATCTAGAACCTTGAACCGAACCTCGCGGTTCTGCGGTTCTACAATATAAGAACCGCACCGCACCGCGGTTCTATGCGGTTCTGTCGCGGTTCGAACCTCGTTGAACCGTATTTGCATAAATTTGCCAAGATTTTCCTATTTCGGCTGTATAAAAGCCTGAGTCACTACGCGTAATATACACCCTGTTATATGTTCTTCTGTTGTATATACTCCTAAAAAAATACTGCCTTCTAGGTAATGTTTTGAAATGGCTCAGTATTGGTCACTATTATAGCCTATGCATTGTATAATTCTAGTAATACACATGGAATATCTCGTAAATGCAGTGTGGTGATGGTCGGTCGCATCACATGCAATTGAATTGTTGAAGATATATATATATCTATTCCAACCATTGCTACAATGAAGACGCGTGAGATGTTTTTGGCCCGTACGGGGCACCTGCAGTCCGAACATGGTGATGTAGGTCTCCTTGACAGAAGACTACAGCGCCGCGAGGGCTGCAGGCGGGCCCGTAGCACTCCGTATATTTCAGGAGGAAGTAAAGCTATGCGGAAGCATACTTAGTACATACATGAGGGTTCCGCGGTGGGCGGGAAGAAACCGCTGCGAAGAGAGCCCAACTCTCCTTCGAAACGGCAATGTTCCTTTCGAAGGAGAGGATATACGAGCAATATCTGTGTGCGATTATAAGCACGGAATATCGTGGACCCGACGCAAGGGGGAGGGGCTCTCCGCAACAATCCCGAATAGAACATATCATCTATTCCAACCATTGCTACAATGAAGACGCGTGAGATGTTTTTGGCCCGTACGGGGCACCTGCAGTCCGAACATGGTGATGTAGGTCTCCTTGACAGAAGACTACAGCGCCGCGAGGGCTGCAGGCGGGCCCAAATGACCCGATGGGCCAAATAAGGATGGTGGAGGGGCTGGTGGTGAGGAAGAGGAGACCGGAGTTGGATGACCGGTCTGGAATTGACGGTTCCAGGTGTACAGTGTTGTTGGGGGCGTCGTGAAGTAAAGACGGAAAGCTTCGGAAGACCATCTTCCGAGGGCTTGAATGTGGTCACTTCTCAGGCCCGAATCGTGGGCGTGTTGGGCTGCCCCTTTTCTGAAACTATGACCTTTTAGTCCTGTGGTATCTTCCCCAGAGCGTTTGAGCTTGGAGATAACGGCGCGTTGAAAGGCGGCTGAGGTGAATGGCCCGGAGGAGAGCGTAAACAAAGGAGCAGTTGAAGGTTGTGAATCATGAAGGAATAGCTTAGAAAGTCCCTCAACGGGGCAGGCCGCGTCGTTTGTCGCTGCAAGGACAATATTAACACCTTCGTGGTTTCGGTCGGTCTTGCTTCTCTTTAAAGTGAGGAGGACGTGGTCCATGGTAGGGGAGAATCTGATATCCCCCCGGGTTAACTTAGTAGCAACAAAGATTTGCGTATTCCTATGCTCAGCAGCTGAGTATGTAAATTCCCCGAACCGAAGAAACCCGGCGAAGGCAACCCGGGCAGCCACGGCAAGATTGAGATCGTCTCTCTGGGGCCCTGAGAGCCTCAGTGGCTGGGCAGGTAGATGTGAAATATTCCCTGATAGGGTTATAATTGAGGTGCGTGGGATTGGATTGCGAACCCGCTTTTGGCGCGGGGGTTGCAGCCGGCGAGCACCATCGACCATACGACGAAAATGCTTGGCGTGGAGGTCAAAAATTGCATCGGAAAGACCGTTGTCGACGTGGTACGCGCGGAGCGCTGAGAGCTCAGACATAGCTGTATCGGGCTTCACTGGTGGGCTCCCACCTGCGCCCAGCAGTCGTTCCGTGAGCCAAGTGTAGATCGCTGGTGCTGTTGCTGGCCATGGCTGTAATCCATTGAGGGCGCAGCTACGGGTGTATGAGCGCTGTGCGGAGCGGTACCCTTTTCTTGTTCCCTCTGCCAGACCATTCCAGACCAGCTTAGCATGACCAGCACTCACGAAAATAGGCTGGCTGGAGAACCAGGCTGGCGGAGCAAGGGAAAGGAGCTCGTCCACTGTGGGCAAATGTCAGCGATGGAACCATAGTCGGAACGGGATAATGCGTCAGCTAGCAGGTTTTCTGATGAAGGTAGCCAGTGTGGCTGGATTTCTATGTCAAGGGCGGCTGCTATACTGAAAAGCATGAGCAGTTGGCGATGGGCCGGCCCGCGGAGTGCCTGCTTAGACAGGCCATGGAACGCGACGGCACTGTCCGTAAAAGCGAGGACACGATGATGAGCCCAATGGAGGCTGTGTAGAAGGAAGGCCTGCAGAATTGCGGTAACCTCCTTGGTGTTGATGTGGGCCTCGCTAGCGCAGACGGAGGAGGCGTCCACAATAGCGGCGTGAGTGGAAGGCAGGTAAGGTGCTGCAGACAACCAGTCTCCGGCGGAGTCCCGTGAGGGCGCAAAAAAGAAGAAGAGGCCCAGACCGGAGTCACACGCGTCTGTGTAGAGGGCAACTAGGGGGCGGCTCTTCTTAAAGAAATGGATTCCGTTGAAAAACGGGATTGTGTCCGTCCACCACGCGAGGTCCTCGCGGCTATCATGGGATAGGCGGCGGAGAGAGCGCTGGTGAGGTGGGAAAGATGCGAGGTCGCTGTAGAGCGACTGGAGGCGGGGTCTGCCAAGACGAATGACCATTGAGCAGTGTTGGAGGAAACCGATCACACGTTGCAAGGCTTTATGCGAAACACGATTTTGCTGTAATAGCGACGCGGCCTCGGAAGATGCGCGTGTTAGCTTATCGCGAGGCATGCGGGCCTGTAGAAGTGTTGTGTCGATTTCGATCCCAAGCACATTGACCACGGTACCCGCGGCGTCTTTGGTGTTATTCCTTGGGATGCCTAGTGCATCTGTAAGAGGAATGTAAACGGTATTGAACTCGACGATAGCCTGAGAGATATCTCCTACAGAAGGAGGAAAAACAGTGATAAAATCGTCAAGGTAATGGACGATAGAGGCCCCAGGTAAGTAGGCAGTCAGAAGCCAGTTGAGACCCTCAGCAAAGAGATTAAAGATGAAGGGTGCAGTTGCAAGACCAAATGGAAGGCAACATTCCATGTATGTCTTGCTATCCCACGAAAAGGCTAGGAGAGGCCGGTCGGCCGGTGCGACGGGGATATTGCGGAAAGCATCTTTGATGTCGCGTTTGATGATAAAGCATCCTCGTCCAGAGGTGCAGGTGAGTTCGAAAATGTGATCTATGGAGATGTATTGTATGGCAGAGGCGATAGCCGGGATAGACTCGTTGACACTGCACCCTGGCGGGTAGGAAAGGTCATGGATACGGCGCCAGCTTCCGTCTTGTTTAGGTACGAGCCCTAGTGGGGACACAACAGCGGGACCAGTGCAAACTTGCACTCGACGATTTGACAGGTCATCGGAGAGCTTTTGGGTGATAATAGAGGGTTCCTCAATATGGTGATTAGATGTTCGGCGGTCTGTCGGCTGGCCCGTACAACCAAGGCGGCAGCCGAATGTGAGAATACCGCTACAAATAGTCCCTAGATCGCCAGGATATCGTTCAAGGAGAGTTTCCCACACTGAACTGATAAAAGGGGAAGCAGAATCACGCAGGGGCGGGAGAGAAGAGTCAAAGATCTCAAACTGGATAGAGGTGTTGGGACGCGGGGCTGGCCAGCTGGTTGGCGGTGATAGCGTTTGAAATATATCAAGGCAGACCGCGGCGTGGTCCTAACTCGCTGGTTTCACTTTGCAGCTTATCATAGAGTGTTCGTTGCCACACTTAGAGCAGACGTGCCTACGGTGACATGTTCGCCAGTGACAGCCAGCAAAAGAGTTGAACTTTTCACAGATGACAGAATCGTTGTTTGAGGCGGCGGTTGAGCGCGTTGACCGTGTGGTTGGGGTAGTCGGCGCTGTCTTTGCTGGGAGCACGTTATCCGGGCGTAGGTAGGAGCTTTCGAGAGCTTTCCCAATTTCCCAGTCGCCAAGAGAAACGGCAAGGTCGCCTTTATCGACGACCATCTGATGGTGGTCTAAGGCCATTTGCAGGATACACTCCTGCCACTTATATGCCCTGGCAAGGTCACAAATACGGCGGTGGAAAAGGACCATTCCACTGATGCATAGTGAGTGCTTGGCAGCGAAGAAATCACACCAGATGGCGATATAACTGCTAAAGCAGTGGGCCCACAGGGATGCGTCATTGCCCCAGTCCTTGATTGACCCCAGTCCTTGATTGAAACCACCTTGCGGAATTGCAGGCCAGACGATGTGGACTTCAAGTCGAAGGACTCGCCATCCGGTGCCGAGGCTTTGAATTCGGGGCTGCGAAGTTTTATGAGGTCCTTCTTTGGGCGGAAGGTGTGTTCAAAAACGGCTATAATGGCAGCACGGTCGAGACCGGGGAAGCGGGGGAGGACTGGCAAAACAAGAGACGGAACCCTACCGTCGTCGATATCCTCCTCTGTGGTGAGATCTATACGTGGGCGCTTACGCTGCCCGTCGCCCGCAACGAGGGAAGCGGACACTGTGGACATAAACGAATCGCGTTGGGTATCAGAGAGAGAATTCCAAATATACTCCGGTGGATAGAACGAGGAGCCCAGGGTGGTCTGTCCCCCAGGAGTAGTACTGGGGGCCTCGGAACTATGTCGCACCATTGCAAGAGGAACTCTTGAAGAAGAAACCGCTGCGAAGAGAGCCCAACTCTCCTTCGAAACGGCAATGTTCCTTTCGAAGGAGAGGATATACGAGCAATATCTGTGTGCGATTATAAGCACGGAATATCGTGGACCCGACGCAAGGGGGAGGGGCTCTCCGCAACAATCCCGAATAGAACATATCATCTTTGTCAGGCAGGCACACCACCAACTTCTTACCATCGCCAGCATAAATTTACTATAATGAAAAACCAGTAATTCTTGGCCGGACTAACTAAACATATTGTAATTAAGCATGATTAATCCCGTCTCTATAGATCAATACTTTATATACTTAGCGGATACTATATAAAACTGTCCGATACCACTGCTATACGACTGTATTTTTTTCATAATTCCTGTTTGCACCACTTGTGGAACCTAGGGATGTCAAAATGAAATTTCAAAATTTCTGAAATTTGGCCTCTTGAAATGTAATTTGAAATGGGCTTTGAAATCTTGAAATTGCGCTAGTCCCAAATAGTAACTATTATCTTACATTCTACCAATCAAATCTTTCGAATATGAAGGGCGTGACATCGACATTAGGTGTTATCTATCCCCCGCTGCCGCCGAGTTGGCCGCTCGAAATGATCTGCAATTCCTTGAGGCCATTTAGATGAACGCTTCGACCTCGTACGTATAGGATGAGGTGAACCTGAACTTGTTGTGGGCTTCGTTGAAGTCGGGGAAGGCTCTGAAGTTGACTTCAACAAATTAAGTCTCGAATTCAACGCAGTGACGAGGGCGGGATTCGTTGACACTGAGGCCGAGGTCAACGCTGAATTCAATGCAGAAATAAGTGCCGAAGTTGGTGCACATATATTTTCAGAGATCTGAGTTGAATCTGATTCCTGATCTGGTGCTTGATCTGATCCTTGATCTGGTGCTTGTTCAGGTACTTGGCCTGGTGTTTGGTCTGGTGCTTGATCTGATCCTTGATCTGGTGCTTGTTCAGGTACTTGGCCTGGTGTTTGGTCTGGTGCTTGGTCTGATGCTTGGTCTGATGCTTGGTCTGGTGCTTGGTCTGATGCTTGGTTGGGATCGGGTGTTTGGTCTAGAACTAGATCTAGCGCTGGGTTGGATGATATATCTGATCCCCCTTCTAGGTCATCCTGCACTTGCTTTCGCTGTAAAACCCTCTCTATCTCGTCATCCTCTTCTTCAAGGAGTAATTCCTGCGTGACCTTAGGAGACTGTTCCTCCCGAAATTGTCGTTTGTTGATCTGTACGAAGAGCAATTTTTCAACGTGATGAGGCTCGAGCCTATTTCGGACCTTTGTATGCTGAAGGTTCATCTGTGAAAATGCTCTCTCTGCTGTTGCTGAATTCGCCACAGTATGACAGAGGCGACGAGTAAAGAGTGCAAGAAGTGGAGCGATATCTTCCTATAAGACAATGTTATAAGGAAACTCTGGTTTAATCACCGCCAGTATTAACGTACTGCTTCAAGCCAGAATAGAGATGGACTTTGGGCCTTCCAGTAAGAGGCCTTATAAAACGCTCCCGTTCTCTGCCTGAATGAAAGAAATTCATGCCATGCAGACGAGCTTCTGTCGTCATTTTGAAGAGGCTGTAGTACACCTTCGATATAATTTCGAGAGCTCTGGTCAACTTTCCTAGGGACTCTGGCGGGGTCCAGGTGATAGGCTACCCAGTGAATAGGCTCTAGCTGATGCAGTATTCGACTTTGCCAGCCTGTGCTATCTAAATAGGATAAGAAGTCATCCTTGAGAGATGTCTGGGATGCCAATGTTCGTAGACTTTTATGAAGATCTAGCCACCGCTGCGTTACCTCTATGATCGATGAGTTCCGAGCTTCAGATTCTTTTTGGGTAATATATAGGGGCTTGAGGATTTTAATCAACTCCTTTAGTTGCCACTAGAACGAGTGAGAGTTGGCTATTTGAATAACCCCTTGTCCCCTAGCAGTCGAAGCTATAGGAGTTGTAAGTGTCCACTCACAGATAGCTTCTTGGCAGTTATGAAGTAAGGCCAGCATAGTATATTGTGTTCCCCATCTTGTGATAACCGACGAAATGAGAGCTTTTCTAAAACCCTACTTCTCAATCTGCTTTGCTTACATTCTTGTGTACTTGAGTGGTGAGTGGTGGAAGAAGACCATTAATTCAAGAGCTAACCTAAATACCTCACTGGCCCTTGGAACTTTTGAACTCTTAGAATCAACAACGTCCTTTATAATTAGCTAAAGTCCGTAAGAGTTATAAGGAATTATAAAGTAGTGTCTAAGCTCTGGTATATTCTCTAGCTTCTCCTAGACCGATTTCATAATAGTATATGTGTCCGTCGAGATAGAATTAATTCTCTTCCAGTCAAGTATTTTATCTAGCTATAGTAGGAGATGTTAGAGGCTGTTCAAGATCTAACTACTAATAGCAGAGATATCAAGAGTCCTATCTTCTATATTATTTAGGTAGATAAACCATGACTTCGTTAGTATTGTTATAGTCATCACAATCACCTACTAGGATCGGATGTTAGTGGTCTTATCCACTGTGATATTCAGGAACTCGGTTCTCCGTAGTTCCTTTAGCACCTCCGCCCATAGTTCGTTATATGCTTTATCTAGCAGATCATCGGCAATTCGTTAGCGGGAAGGGATTTGGTACGTTGGGCTTAACGTATAAATAAGATCTTGTATCTCCTGCTGTTTGAAGAGATTAAAGGGCCTAGCCCCAGTAAAGCAGACCTAGGCTATTAGCTAATCAATACCTCAAGATAGCTGAGAAGCAGAAAAGCTTAGCAGCTTCTGTTTCTTTCCTGTGACGGTCTCAGGATCCATCAGAGCCTGTGCTTTCGTACATTTATTAACATGCTCACTCTGATGTGTCGTGTTTTTGGCGCGAATCTTCAAGCATCCGAGGCATTTTGCTTAAGGTACCTAGCTGAGATCAGAGGATTATAAGATAGATCTATCAATCAATCAATACCTTGGTATCGCCTTGTATAATTTCAAAGCACCTTTGAAGCTCGAGCTCGGAGTAGGAGACCTTTCCGAAAGGGTGATTAGACATTTCCAAGATAATGCAATTACAAAGGGATTAGAACATCCTATACGTATTGCAGATATATATTCTGACACCTGTTGCCAGGAGCTACAGCATACAGTCAACTCTCACTTATTGCACACCCTCCCATCCAAGGAAAATCATGTGCAATAAGCGGGAGGTGCAATAAGTGAGAGGATGACATAATCAATAAATTAGCTAGCCCTTAGCCCCATTACCTATTTAGGCTTCCATCCCATATCCTCTAGGGTCACCTGACGCTTCTCCTCGACCTGAATCCTGCCAAACTTGCTGATTAAGCTCTTAACCTGACGTATATGGTCTGATGTGCTCTTTTCCTTGCTTCTAACCCATAGTAATATATCCTGTAGATGACCCATTATATCAGAATTGGACAGAATCTCTGGTGGAGGCCCATTTTCTTCAATATCTTGTGCTTCCGAGCTCTCTATATCAATATATATATCTTGCCCATCAGTCTCATCTTTATATATAATATCTTTCTCTATAGGGTTCAAAAATTGATCAAATGGTATGATATCATTATGACCAAGCTTCTCAACTGCTTTATTATATAGAGCTTGAACCTTACTAGTTAACCCTGGCTCAGGAATTGGTTAAAAACCAGCTTCTATCTTATCTTGGATAGCTTTGGTCTCATCTTCAGAATGTATTAAAGTGCTTTTTTTGAAGTAATTCTCAATTGTTTGATCTGATATTGAGCTCTTCCAAACCTGGGTTAACCAAAAGAGTGTATAAGATATATTCATACGATCTTGTGGATCAAGACCTCGATCAAGAATAGCAATCATCCAGCGCATCTATTTCTTCCGATAATAGTGCTTCAAATTTTGAATAATCCCTTGATCTAGAGGTTGATATATAGAAGTTGCATTTACGGGGAAAAAAAAGAACCCTAATATGAGCAGGTGGTGGGATAGACTTCAGACCAGTAATATATGGAGAGGCATTATCCAAAAGTAATAATGCTTTCTTATGTATAGGAATACGCCTATAAAAAGCATATAACTATTCCCTCATAATGTCTTGACGTATCTACGCCTTCTTATTCTAATGCCAGACATATCCTAGAGCTTGGAAATTGACTCCCCGAGCATACGTGGTGTTTTTGCAGTTCCAATTAACTATAAAGGTAATCGGTCTGATCCATCTGTATTTGTTATAACGATAAGAGATATTCTAGTCTTATCTTTCTTCTTTCCAGCAATTTTTCTATGGGAAAGACCCCCATTTGGCATCTGCCTCCAGAATAGGCCAGTTTCATCTATATTATATATCTCAGATGGTTTATATTGATCGTATATCGTACGAATTTCTTTTATATGATTGTGTACAGAAGATGGGACTGAAGCAGCTTCTCCATGGAAAGTATGATATCGAAGATTATGCCGGTTTTTGAAGCGCGTAAGCCAACCCTCTGAGAAAGCAGGTTTTTGTTGATCTCGATATTTAGGGATCTGAGACCAAAGCTCGTTTGCTTTGATCTGGATCAAAGGGCCAGTGATTGGAAACCCTGATTTAATATGCTTATTCACCCAATTCGAAAGCTTCTGGTCTAGAATAGGCCAGAAAGATGAAGAAAATCGTGAATTTGTCTTAGTAAGCCCTATATCAAGATAATCATATTGAGATGATAGAATTCTTGAGACCGTTGTACGATTAATCTTATGTTTAAATTGGGACAAAAACCAATCTACACATACGGATTGGGTTGGTCTAGGGCTAGAATTAGACCAAAAGGCACGTAATGCCTGCTTTTGGGCATCTGATATGCCTAATCGAGCACGCTTTGCTGGTGGTAGAGCAGCTTGTGTAGCTGGTCTGACAGTTGGAAGAGGTGGAAGATCGGAGATTTCAGGCATTCTGATTGGTTGATATGACTGACTAAGCGGATGACTCAGCAAATATGGGATGAAAATTGTGTGCAAAGGGTGAGTGTGCTAAAAGTGGGAGTTTTGTATGTAAAATCAAGAAAAAGTGGGTCCGTCTAAGCGAATTGTGTGCTATAAGCGGGAGTGTGCTAAGAGTGGGTGTGTAATAAGTGAGAGTTGACTGTATTTGAAGAATAGGAGAGCAGAATTATAAGTTATTAGCCCTATTGGCTGGAAGAATTTACCGCTCTTGATGACTCAGCAGCCACCAGCCCCTTAAAATATAATTGAAATAAGAAAAAAAATTGAAATTTCAATATTTCGTAATGAGTTGGCCAATTTTGTAATTATGTCAGGATGAGGAATTGAGGTACTGGCTAGTACTGAACATGTCCAATAGAATCAGATGATTGATTGAAGGTGTATGAGAGCGGTTGAACGCCCTCGAGAGTCTGTATCATGCCAATGCGGTGTGTTACGACACCATAACTCCGAGTCTATCCCGAATACCATACGAATACTAGGGGAATTGAGCGGATGATGAACATCCTATCCCAAAAGGTATTAGTGGTATTTAACCACTCCTTCAAATCGACACACCCCCTCAGCGTTCGCGCAATTCCTAACAACCTCCTGCTACTCTAGCAGATTTCCAATATCCTCCATGCCCATCATTTGAATGAATTCTGCGTGCTTCTGGCGCGGCAGTAGTTTGGTGAGTCCATCCGCAGCCATATCTTTCGTTTCAGTCCATTTGATGAGGATCCTGCCTTCCTGGACCTCCTGGCGGAGCCAGTGGTGGTGGATGTCGACGTGCCGAAGCTTCGTGCGCAGTTGTGGAGCTTCCTTGGTGAGAAGCCTGATCGTCTGTTGATTATCACATCGGATAGCGAGGTCGTGCTTTGGGTCAAATTGAATAGCTGCAAAGAGACGTTTCCACATGCTCATGGTCCTGCCAGCCTCGGAGATTGCCAGTAGCTCCGCTTCAGTTGTGCTGGTGGTGACTGTACGCTGTTTGGTAGCCTTCCAATCGACTGGTCCTCCAAAAATCATACAGAGATATCCCTCCGAGCTCTTCCGGTCAGGGTTATCAGCGAGCGAGGCATCACTGAATAAAGTGACAGCTTCTGCATCGTCAGATCGGCGCGGCCGGAAAGTGAGGGCGCGGTGACGTGTGTGATATAGATAGGATATCACACGGTTGATCTCTTCCAGATGCTCCGGGCCCGGGTTCGTGAGAAACTGAGCTAACGCCGAGGTGGCCTTGGCTGCATCTGGTCGTGTGATGGTCGTGGCATACTGAGCTGAACCTATCTTCTCCTGGTACTCATGAATTCGCTCCTTCGTGGCTTGCCCAGCATACGGCTTCAATGTAGCTGGTGCTAGTGGTGTATCAAATCGACGATGGGTGGTGAGATGATATCTGGTTGCCATAGAGGAAATGTATGAGTCCTGACAGAGCCAGAGGGCCATCTGCTGTCTGTCGCGGACGATACGAATCCCTAGGAACCACTCTGCTTCGCCCATATCTCTCAATTCCCACGCGATATTGAGTTTCTCTTTGATCTCAGCCGCGCGCTGGCGCTGAGATGGGTGATTGACGACGATTAGATCGTCTACATAAAAGAATACGATGATTCCATCTGCTGCGAAGAGACAGAGATCTTCCTGAACCACTGTCAGACCTAGGGTAGTCAGAACCTTTGAGGCCTCGCGCTGCCAGAGCCTCGGGGATTTCCGTAGGCCGTAGAGAGCTCTTAGGAGCTTCCAGCAATAACCAGACTGTCTAAATCCCTCGGGCATCTCCGTTAAAACCGTTTCATCGAGTAAGCTATTGAGGAATGCATTGACAGCGTCAAACTGGTGTGTATCAAGGTTAAACGCAGCGACCATAGCGAACACAGCCCTAGCCGTGCGCGCTGCGAGAGTGGCCGAGTATTTCTCCTCAGCGGTGAGTGTCTGAAGGTCTCCTCGTACGCAGATTCTTGCCTTTAGCTTAGCTAGATAGCCATCGCTGTCGAACTTATAGTTAAACACCCATTTCAATGGAAGGACCTGCACACTGCGATCATTCGGACGCTGTATGACCTCAAAAGTGCCCTTTCGCTCGATAGTTTTGACTTCAAGGCCTGCAGCAGCTAGGAAGCCCTCACAAAATGGATGATTCATCATGTCTCGCCAATTTTGTGGCTCTGGCGGTAGCTCATCGCAGTGAGATCTTGTGTAGGAATGAGAGCTATTGATTCCAGTAGCGAATGCAGCGAGTATACCCTCTTGGTTTTCATCATCACCACCTGCAAACATAGCCCAATCGCTCATGTCTTTAGGTTTTCGCATACGTGAGCCGGGCACGATATTGCGAGGTGAAACGTTCCCTACAATATCTCTTGGTGCAGTACGTGTCTCTCGGGTAGGCGCGGCCGTAACGAGCTCTCTCTGAAGCTGCTCAGCGGGTTGATCTTGAGGATCAGGATCTAGTGGCACCCCACGAGGTTGTTGCTCTGGTAAAGGTGTAGGTGACAGTGATATCATCTGCTGAGGCTCCACTAGCTGCGAGGTAGCTGTTTTCTCCTGAGAAGGCTTAGCTGACCTCTGTGGCTCCGTCTCCTGCGAGTCCGCGGTGTTTCCAACTGCTTGAGGCATATCAAGGTATATCCTCGAGGTATCCTGGTTGGTATCCTCGCTTTCTTCGACCACCCATGGCATTGACTCCAAGATATCGCTGACAGGCTCCTTCTCTAGCTCTCGAGCGTTGAAGAACACGTTCTCATCAAAGATGACATCCCGCACTGCTCGTACGGCTCCTCTGCGTGGAAACCAAACCTTCCAGATATTCGAGGCTTCATAGCCAACAAGATATCCTATCTCGGCGCGAGTCTCCATCTTTGCGGCGTTCGGAATACCCTGTTTCCGCACATACGCTCTGCATCCAAAGATCCTCAGATTTGCAAGGTTAACACGCTGTTGTGGCTGGTTAAGGAATGCCTCTTGGTAAGGAATTATCCACCGGCCGTCTGATAGCTTCGTGGGCGATCTGTTAATGATCCATACAGCAGCTCTCACAGCTTCAGGCCATAGATTCTTCGGAAGGCCTGCATCAGCTATAAGAGCACGAGCCACAGTGATTACCACCCCCCCCCAGATCGCTCCGCGAATCCATTCTGTTCTGGGGTGCCTACTACACTGTGCTCAATGATAAAGCCTTCGTTGGATAGGAAATCCTCCACTGTTCGCCCAGCAGAGCGTTCGTTATCATATCGAAAGGCCCGTATTGGAAGATTCCACTGCTTCTTCGCTAGTGCAACGAATTGACTAACCGCATCTTGGCAGCCGTTCTTCTTTTCATGGGTGTAGGTCGCGTGGAGGCGTACGCCTTCAAGATAGAAGTGCGTCATCCAGCGATCCCCATTATATCCTGGGTCGATTTGAACAAGATCGAAGTGGATGCGACCATACTTGCCGTACGGTGTGCCAGTAGTTCTCCGAGAGATCTGACGCTTAGCTTTAGTCAGTTGACAGACCTCGCATCTCTCAGGATTATCGTGACGGTTATCTTCGCAGATTCCCTCAATTTTGACCCCATCAACCATCACTGGCAGCTTCTCAATCTTCTGGTCAAAAGCGTGGCCTAATCGTCGATGCCAGCGCCTCGCCGAAGCCACTGAGAGGAGAGACTTCTCTGAATGTCGTGTAGAGAACGCTGTTTGATGGTTCGAGTTAAAGTTGACTGTATAGAGGCCGTGATGTCTCTCAACCTCAAGAACAGCTTCAGGGCCTTTGAAGATGGCTCTTTTATTAGATTTGAAGCAAAAGCCCTTATCCTCAATTATAGAGAGTGAGATCAAGCTTGTGTGGAAGCCAGGCGAGTACTGCACATTGTCTAGGGTGATAGGCACTGTAGCACCCGTACGAGGGTGCCTCCCAGTGATCCTAACTTGCCCATATCCTAGAAGTGGTGTCTCAGTTTGACCGGTTTTAACTATGTTTTTCCGTGGTACATAGGTCATGAACAGCTCTAGATCGTTGCAGATATGGCAGCTGGCGCCAGTATCAAGAATCCAACTGTCTTTGAGAGGTTTGCCGTCCACTGCTGACGCTACGATAGCTCCAGTATCATTTGTATAGAAGGCCAAGGATGATCCCTCTGTCGGAGCTGTACCAGCTAAGTGAGCTGATTCAGTCTTTCTCTGCTGCATTTTGGCGATCTTCTCTTGATCTTGAGGGCTCATCTGCTTGATGCACTCAGGGATACGTTGAAGAGTACCCTCCCGTGGCTTCCAGCCCTCCGGTCGAATTGACTCGTTGAGATAGAAGCATTTAGAGTAGTGATGTTGGGGATGAGTGTTACCACATGGACACTTCTTGCGGTATGTCCTCTCAGCAGGCTTAGCTTCAGGTTCGCCGTTTAACGAAGCCAGAGCTATCTTCGGTTGCCTCCGCCCGTTAGAGACCGCGAGATCCCCACAGCGACTGCGGTAGCTAGCTATAACCTCATGAAATGTGATGGATTTCTCCTCATCTACCAGTTTCCCACGCCAGGACGTGCACCAGGTGTCATCAACCGGTTGTATCGCGTCAAGGAAGTCTCGTATCGCAAAGTGATCTCCGCTAGAGCAATCAGGTATGCCAGCGATCTTGCCTTCCTCAAATAGACTAATCCATTGAGTCAACCAGTGATCAGTATCACCTGGTGGCTTCTGTCTGATCATCTCTCTCCAAGCACGGCGAAGCTGCTGTTGACGATTGTGAGGCTTCGGTTTAAACGTTTCGGACAGCTTCATTAGCTTCCTCCGTGGTGAGTCCTCTCCTACAACAAGATAGTGGTGTTCTGTGGCTAGCGATCGGGTAATGAGGCTATTCAATCGTGACATAGTCTTTTGCAACCTCTGTCGGCGCTGATCGCGGCGATCGTACGCTTGAACGGCTAACGTGTACCGCTTGAGCTCAGCATCGTCTAGCTCCATGATGTCCTTCTCCCGGTGGCGGTTATCCCGAGGTAACGATGGCTCTTCCTGAGCTTCAGGAACCTGCAGGACCTCATCATCCGCCTTCTCGGGGTCCAGGTAATCCCATGCATCTTCTGCAACAGCCGCTGACTTGATATGGCCTATCCAGACCCTCCACTGTGCTTCTGACTGAAGCTTCTGGTCAAGCGGGACCTGCATCAGATCTTCCCTCGTAATATCGGACATCTTCGCACAGGATATAGCTCAGATACTCAGATTCTCCTCTTATAACAATTCCAAAGGTTTCTCGTCGGCGCGGATCTTCGGTGTGCTGAACGTAAGAGCTCACAAGCGGTGGCTAGGCGTTCAGGGGTATCCGGCCGGGCGCTTCAGGGGTTCGTTGACTGCGAGATACAGTGCAAGATGGTCTAATATCTCTCAGACAGTCAGGCAGTCCGGGCTCATAACTGTCAGGATGAGGAATTGAGGTACTGGCTAGTACTGAACATGTCCAATAGAATCAGATGATTGATTGAAGGTGTATGAGAGCGGTTGAACGCCCTCGAGAGTCTGTATCATGCCAATGCGGTGTGTTACGACACCATAACTCCGAGTCTATCCCGAATACCATACGAATACTAGGGGAATTGAGCGGATGATGAACATCCTATCCCAAAAGGTATTAGTGGTATTTAACCACTCCTTCAAATCGACAAATTACAATATCACTAGTGGAACCTCCGGGTCGAACTATACCTCCGAGGTGTGGTGTGGTTCTATTATAAGGCCTAATCGAACTCTTCCGGCGGCGGGTACTTTCTATCTTTCCGCTGTGGATTGGGCGGTCTATATCCGTCCACTCGGATATGGTATTCTGTTGATGTTTGTCTTGGCACTTTTCTTTATAGTGTGTTGTATAGTGTGCTCTTCAGTGAGTAGAGCACTAGCCCTATATAGGGCCGTCTTCTATGTGAGGTAGATACAATCCATCGTTACCGGTTGCCGTCGACTTCTAACTTTCATCTATATAAGTATAAAATAAATTTTAATCTGATTCAGTCCTATCTTAGAATCCTTTAAGCCACATTGGGACTATCTTCCTTGCAAATTAATTACTAGTAATAGATAGCAACCTATTAGTACTATAGAACCAGGATAAAATGAGGATAATATCCAGAGGCGAATCAACTAATACTTTGAGATTTTATCACAGCGGAATGGCACACACGATTGGCCGGTGTTGTTTCCCAGATCTTAAAGAGGCTACTTAGCAAATAAACAGGTAAAGCAGACACAGACCCACTTGTTCCGATCAGGAGAAGACACCCCACCCAGCTTATAGGCCGAACATCGACTTAAGAAAAATAAACAAAGGGCTTTGTAAAGAATTCGAAATATTCCACCTTCTATCAGTCGTCTTCTTTCTCTTCAGGCCTTTTAACAGTATTTCACTCATAGTTGATACCGGAAGACAGAGTAGCCTAAATACAACAAATCAATTAACACAATCCTTATAAGGCTAACCGTTTAATCCCTCTCCCATTCTCACAAGTCTCCGAATTTGTGTCTCCTATCTCAGTTTTAATTCCCGTCATCCCTCTTAATTCATTATTCTCATTATTCCTAAGTACTAATTATCTTCGTCAGAAAAGCATATACAAGAGTCCGATCCAGAAACATACATCGTCCACAACCCAGTCTCACATAGACTTCTCGCGGCCAAATCTACAATAATCCAAATTATATAATCTCTCAAGCATCACTACATCCGGTAAATCAGCACCCAATACCTAGACATATCAGCTCAAATCACTGCTAGCAATCTTGACAGCAAAGAAGACTTAGCCAGAGATAAACTCAGACGAAAAGTCTCACTAGTAGAATCAAGATAAACAGCCCCAATCTTCCATCCTGTACAGATTTTGGTTCTTTCTATCCCTTTTAACCAACTCCCTTAGCCTCGGATAGTACAAGGGACTTTTTTTTCCTAGATCAAAGGCTGAGCCGGACCTGGATTTTAAAAATAGCTTTGGAGCAACTGCAGCAGACAACCAGATTGTCCCCTCTGAGAATATAGAGACAGAGTTTCAGCACTACCATTTCCTTCTTATCCAGTTACTAAGCATTATCTTACACAGCAAAGACGCAGATATATCCAGCATAGTTTCCTTTATCCAATCGGGTGTATCCCATAGCCAGATCTTTAACTTTATCAAACAACAACCCTAACAGCCAAACAAGATAAAATAGGTCATTTATGTCTTAAGCATATGCTTCCCTGGGCCTCAAAGAGACTATTCCAATAAGGTCGGGAGGGGAGTTGGGGGCGAGAGATCAAGATCTGACTATTATATCAACAAGAATCTGTCTTCACAACCTAAGTTGTATGTTTAGTAAAACTAAGCTTTCCGCTTAATTTCTTCTAAGTATAAAAAGGTGGTTTTAGGTCATCTATCTAGTATTAAGTTAGATTCCCAAATCAAATTCAGCTCCGGCTCCGGTGTATGGTAAGTCGTCCGCCTGTCTCACGTTCCTTTCCGAGCAGAATACCAATAAAAAAATGCTGCTAATCTTAAAGTGATACCAATATCTAAAGGATAACAGTGATACTTTCAGATTTCCTAGCTCTGTTTTATTGTAACAAGCTTGCCCAAGAATCACCATTTATAATATGGAATATATTGCATTATATACAGCAAGAAGTTTTCTAACTACCCTACTATTTAAAAATTTCCCCTTCTTTCTTTTTAAAAATAGAACTTCTTATAATACTACTTAATATGTGTGCTTTATCTACAGAAGGCGAGAAAAGAAGACCTAAATAGAAAGGAGATTCCAATGTTATCTATAAGTGAGCGGAAGTACAGAAAATATATATTCAGAATCTAAATAGAAACTTCTAAAGGTCAAGAAAGTATATATATACTCTGGGGGAGTATATTACCTTATCTCCCTAATTGTAAAATAAAGGTAGAACGGTGTTTTTTCTAGAGAGTTGGGTTAGCAAAGTGAAAGTCAAAATATATTTCCCTCCAACATATATTATATTTCTCGGGTCGTGCCCAAAATACATTAAACTGTATCAGGTTCTCACTAGAACCATATTATTATTAAAACGTATCGTAACTCTAACTTTAATAAAATTTCTAATTACTCTAGTACTACTTTTGCTTAAGCTATATCTATAAGGGATACTATACTAACTAGGATCCTGGTAGGGTGGGACTAGTACAGTTGGTGAAGCAACAAGCACCATATTCTATGCCCCTAACACCCCAAGTATCCCCTGACGGTCAAGGAAACTATTGGTTCAGTTTGAATGCTAATTATTATTTCACTATACTGGTCTCTGGTTCTTCTATCTGCTATGTGAATGGGGAGTTTGGTAGTGAGTTCGGTGATCTCTGTATCTATCACCTATCTCAGGCTGCTATTTAGCATACCCCATTTGAAAATATGAATATGTATATGACTAGTTTAGCGATTTAAAACTGAAGTTGTACTAAGAAGAGAGGATTTAGGGCAGCCGACAGTAAAACTACTTAGTTAGGGTACATTTATGAGCCTTAATAGGCAGAATATAAGAAATAGCACTGAGGTAGAGAAATTCAAGACATATATTATTTAAAGAAAACTGCCGGTAACTTAATTATCGGCAAAGTTTTGCCAAAATCTTATCTTCGACAGTCTTACAGATACAGATACACTTAATCTTGGGTTAAGAGCCTACTATAGAGAGTATTCCTTAGCTCCTTTATAGACGTATTAATAGATAATATACTATAAAAGGACTCCGTACACAGCCCATAAACCAAATTCTTAGAGAAAAAGCCGAATCTAGGCCTGATTTAAACAAATGTTCTGAGGGCAAGTTACAGTCTAGGGAGGGAGAATATTGCCACAGAAGTGCTAAGAAAGAAGGTATTAGACGTAGGGTAGACAAAATAAAGTAGAAATACCTGCAGTATCAGCTCTAGTAGAACGTCATCTCAGAAAGCAAGTGTAGTACTAGTAACTTGGTTTACTAGCCGGTAGTTTCCGTCATTGGCATTAAGGAAGCCAAGCAGCTTAATTCTGGAACAATATAACAAAGTGAAAGCTCTGAAATACTTAGGCAAGTACTGTATAGTTCAGAATCTCCGCCCCTTACAATAGGCCAACAAGAATAGAGGTTATAGTCAGTACGTCCAGGACAATAACTAGAGTCACAATCGTCACCCAAACCACTACCTTAAAAGAGTCTTAGAAATATCAGAGGTTAAGGCTCTAGAAATGTGTGGTCTACCACAGCTGAGAACCGGAGAGAAAAACGGGCAGACCAAATTTTGCTAGCATATAGATAGATAAGCGCGGACTTTTTCTCCGGACAAGTGCCTATAGCATTCATCGACTTTATAATGCTACCCATCTCCCGAGCAGTAGTGTCGCTTCCCTTTGTCATACGGGTAACCAGAACTGATTTCTGATCAAGCTAACTACGATTGCTTCCTCCTAGGTCTATCCCAGTAAGGCTACTGAAGCTCTATGGAGCTCGGTCATACCTACTCCAATTACCCCTATACTGACCGGAGCGCTACAAACCCGCCCCCTTGGAACCTCGATAAATAATACTGACCCAACGAATGACTTCGACTAGATAGGTAGCTTGGACGCTAGTTCACTATATGCCGTCAATAAGGTCCACCCTGTCAGGTATAGGTTGAGCGATTCTGACTGCCTATGTTCATCTCGATACAAATTCTCACAGCGAAATAGAGACGGGAGGAATAACACAATGACCGCCACCCAGTAGCCTTTAAACAATGGAGGATAACAATCTGGAAAGACCAAAGAGACTTGTTATAACGTTTATTGGGCCCCGGTAAGTCGTTGTCCTATTGTGGTTAGGTGTTGATAATGAAGGTTTAAAGCAATGACTGATAATGTAACTCAGTGGCGGCCTAGCTTGTTTAGACAACACTCACCCAAATAGCACTGCGTATCTGCTGTCACAACGCAGTCATATTTAATGTAATAGGTTTGTTAAGGAAAGATTATGGTATTTGATGGAATACAGCAATATAGTATAGGTCTGGATCTTCTGGGGGGTTAACACTCAAACGCCCCTATTCTATCGCCACAGCAGTATATAGTCCCTCTAGCTGGTTAAACTAGAATAGAGAATTGACAGATATCAGTCAAGTTCCATATATGTAGCTCCGGCCAACTGAAAGAATAAGGTACTACAATACTGTATCGCTGAGGTC